AAGAAGTGGGGGTGACACATTATAAAGAATGCTGAAATAAATTGTCTCTTAAATGGAGCTAGGTATGTAGGAATTGTTAGCATGCAGCAAAATCATTAAAATTTAGATTTAAAAATATCACCTTTTAAGTAGCTTTTTGTAGAAGCATTCTTGTTCATTACGTATAAAACAAGTATTTTTGTTCCTAAGAAGCCTATAAATGCCAACAACCTTTCTCCTGAATCTTAAAAGTGACCTCTTAAATAGGCAGCCATGTACAGTACCATGTTTACATACATTTCCACAAAATAAAGTACCACAGCAAAAAAGCATATTGTCCTAAATGGACCATATGGATCAAAATGCTCCTGTTTGTGTGTAAGTAGTAAAAATAAATCAGAACAGTATCTAGACAAAGCTATACTTTGATATATGAAGAATCTGCACAACTACACCTTTATAGTATGATAGAGCCTATGGTGCCAGATAAGAAAAATGCATTTTGCAGGTAGACCTAAATCTTTACACTGTTGTGATTTTTAACTGACCTGTCTCATTTCATCATAGAATAGCTACATGACCATAAATATAGTGAACTACTGAGAGTATAATTATCCCTTAAAAATAGTTTATTCTTAACAGCTAAGACACTTAAAAAAAATTTTAAAAAGACTTTTTACTTACCCCAGACAAGGACAATGTATCGTAGTGGAACGAAGTACAGGATGATTGTGAACACACAGAGGGCTACAATGGCCAGCCAGCTTAAGAATGGAACAGTCCAGTTGAAAGTACTAAATGAAAAATATAAGACGTCAGCAATCTGAGCACTTCATACCTTTTTCAAACAAAGATTAAAATAAATGTGATTCTGACTAATTTGGAACCTAATCAGTCTGCATTTTTCTCTGGAGTAGAAGCCAACTGTGGTAAGCTTATCAGAAGACACAGGTTACTCAAGATTTGCTCAATTCCATGAATATAAAAGCCTACTTGGATTGTAGTGGACAACTTCAGAGTCTAATCACTTGTATTCTTTGAAATCTATGTAATTCACTTATCAAAGAGGAACTAACATTCTGTTACCTAACTCTTTAGCAAATGGCTTAGTGAAAAAGAGCTATTGTACTGTTTGTGTGATTTCCCCACATGGTAAAAAGATTCATTTTTCTCCTGCTAAAACTAATACCCAGCCTCCTTTTCTTTGTTTGTTTTTTGTTTTGTTTTGTTTTTTAGGAGTGGAACGACCCTGGGCAAATCCCTCTACCAACCTTCACTCAGTTTTTCCCACATTGGAAATAAAATGTTTCTAGTAGTTGTCTATAGACACAGTTCTTATACTTTGATATAAACCCTCTAAATTTTAGAATTCTTGCTCAGTTATGTTTCAAATGGAATTATAAATAAGGAAACGGGGACAAAGCAATTAACCTTATAAAACTTTACCTGCTATTATTGCCCTTCTCCTCAGGAATAGATAGGTAATTAAGAAGTAACATCAGCATTGCCTGTTATTCTCCCTCTAGTACTTTGGGAGAGAATGGCACATGATGGATTTGTAGGATAAACTGAAAAGGGAATACAAACTGGAAAAGTATGCTTATAGTAGGCTGGGGCTAATGGGTCTGTAGTGTTGCTATACTGCTGGTGATTGATAACGTGGAGGACTTGGTCCCAGAGGGCTACAAGACAGTAAGTATTGACAGTAAGACACGATAAAAGCAGAAACAGGATCAATGAACAAGAGTAGGGGATGTTACAAAAAGTAAGGAAATGGGGAAATAATTTAGTGGAACAACAAGGAAAATGAAGACACAAAAAAAGATGATGTAGAACATTTTTTGAAAGAGTGTAGAGAATCAAGGAAATGAAAGATGGAAAGATTATAGTTAAGGCTTTCTGTGTAGAAGTTCTGTGATGAATCTCAGATAACAAAATTTTAGAATAAATAGAAATGCCTTGAGCCTCTAGATTAGATATACAAATACATCACTATTTACAGATACACCATTGAGTTTTTTTGAAATCTCTATAATGTTCAGTACCAAAGAGAAACTAAAATATTGTGTGTACTAAGTCTAACAGTAGTTTGATGAAAAGAGCCAAGAAGTAAAGAGATCTATATTCAAAGCCTAGATTCTATTGTATGAGTCAACATCTCTAACCCTAGGTTATCTCCTTTAGAATATTAGGATAGCTTCTGTTATATCAAGAAAGATTGGTTGTGATGCAGCATGTTTATGTGATTCAAGGTGATCAGAGATAATCAACTCCAGGAGTCTAAAGTGTGTCATTTCTTCCAGTGAGAAGGACTCCAAACACAATTCAGAAAATACAAAATTTACTTCTTCTAATTTCTTGGTAATGCATGTTATAATCATTTGAAGTGGGGTTTGTCCAGGGCAGTTTTGATCCAATGAAGGGTGATTACTAAGAAATTTTTTTCCTATACTATACCTCAGCTTAACACATAAGAGTTGTTCCTTAGCTTTATGTCTTTTAGCTTGCTTTTTTGTGTCTCCCTAGGTTAATTGTTACCTAAAATTGTTTGTTCTAGTAAACAATCCAAAGTTGGATAAGTTAATCCAAAGTTGGATAAGTCAGCTGTCCTGTTTTCAATAACCCTTGGATTTTTGGCTTTTCTTTGTTTTTTCCTCTTATGGTCAGAGTGAGCATCCTGAGACTGTGTCAGTAGGTAAGGTTCATGCTTTACTTCCTTGATGGACACCTGTGCTTTCCTTGCTTCTGCCTGCTTGTGGAGAGAACAGAAGGCTTTCTTTCCTACGGCTCAGTTCAGAGCCATCCATCACACCACTCCATGTGTGAGGGCACTGGCACTTCGCTTGGAAAACCTTCCTTCTGGGCAGCCCCACTGAAGGACTCCCTGTGTTTTTCTTTCTCTTATTGGAAGGATAGATGGCAAAGAATCCTCACCACTGTAGCTAGTGGTAGGGAAAAAAGCTTGCCCTTTTCTGTTTCTACATTTTGCATTATGGAATCTAAATCTAGAATATGCTCTTCCCCAAAAAAGAGTTGCAATTCAAGAAAGTTCTGGAATGATTATTTAGTAACAAGACATGGTATTTATAGAGATTTCATTTTGTGCTTAAAGATCACTTCTGAATCTGCTTTCTGGATGATGTTTTTAATCTTATGTGACCCCAGGGGAACTTGCTTTTTTGGTATCCAAAATATTGTTTTACAGAAGATATAGCTCCTGTAAGACTTACTCAATCTTATGCCATATTCCTGTACCTCAGCATGGAAAATTCTACAAAGCCCAGGTTCCCCCAGAGCTGGTCCACCTCCAGACTCTGATCATATCCTTCAGCTAGCCATCATGTTCTCTGTTTGAGTCCTCCCACCATTGAGAGTTACAAAAGAAGCTTTCTTTCCCTCAGGTGTTCACTAGTCTGATCTCAGAGCTGATCCATGGTCTTCTGGTATAAATGAGAGGTTTCCATCACATTATCAGTATATGATGTACTCCGTAGAAAAGTAAAAAGAATGCCCCAAATTTAGGGCTACCAATGCCCCAAATTTAGGCCACGCTATGCTTCAGTGGATAGGGTAGAGAGTACAGGGAACATTCTTAGAAATAGCACAGGGAGGAAGAAGGAGAGAGAAAAGGCGTGGGAGTGAGTCTTAAAGTCCAAGGCTAAATATTGTTTAGGGGTACATTTGCGAGTGAGAGAGAAAGGACCAATGAATGATTCACACCTTTTGTTTAAATAATTGACCCCTTTCAAATTCTGTGTATGTCCAAGGATCTAAATCTGCAGAATACTTTAGGTTATCAATAATAAAGATTGGTGTTTAAACTAAGAAAACCAGGTTTATCCAGATACATTGTACCCCTTCTTGACTAGATCATTAGCAACCATTACACAGGCCAGTTTCATGTAGTTTATGAGACCTTAGCATGTCTTCAACTCATAACCAATTACTGTAAATTCACCTTGTCGTTTTCTTTTTTTCTAAATAAACTTCTTTTTTCAGGGGAGGGGGTATTGGAGATTGAACCTAGAGGCAATTTACTATAAAGCTACAACCCCAGCCCTTTTCAGTCCTAAAAAGGACTTGAGACAGAGTCTCACTAAGCTGCCCAGGCTTACCTTGAACTTGAAATCCTTCTACCTCAGCCTCCCAAGTTGCTGGGACTATAGAAATGTACCACCAAACCTGGCTAATTTTTAAAAATGTATTAGTAAATAAAATAATAAAACAATAAGATAAAGTAAGTTTCTTAATTTTATGTTAGCTCTCAATGAAGCTGTATAAAAAATTAAGATTCTAATTTTTTTTAAAAGATAATTTTTAATATTTATTTTTTAGTTTTCGGTGGACACAACATCTTTATTTTATTTTTATGTGGTGCTGAGGATTGAACCCAGCGCCGCGAGCGCGCCACCGCTTGAGCCACATCCCCAGCCCAAGATTCTAATTTTTAAGTATAAAAATTCTGTGATTTTTTTCTAAATGACAAAAGTTTATTTTATTGATAATTATGATCTCAGATATTTAAACTAAAATATCTGAGTTTAGGGCCGTGCATGGAGGCCTGTAATCCCAGTGACTTGGGAGGTTAAGGCAGGAGGATCACAAGTTCAAGACAACCTCCCCAATTTAGTGAGGTCATAACCAACTTAGTGAGGCCCTGTCTCAAAATAAAAAAAGTACAAAGGGCTGGGGATATGGTTCAGTGGTAAAGCACCTCTAAGTTCAATCCCTGAGGTGGGCGGGAGAAATAGAGTATAGGAATATTTCTGTAGGGTGCTATACATAATACTTTTTTTAAATATAGAGTAACTTGAAACTATAACTAGACCAATAATAAAATACAAGTGTCTTCATTACCTGAAATCATCATTTAGCTTGATTTATTTTTTTCTATCACGATTGCATATTCCATTTAAGAACAAAGTCTTTCACTGTGAAAAATGTGCTAAAATTTAGGACGGTGTTATTTCTTCAAAGCTACAAGTATGACTTCTTTCCAACCAATATGTTCTAAATTTCAGGGAAGAAATTGACAGAACTTTCATAAAACCAAAGACTGGCAGAAACAAAGTAAATGATGATGAAACTGAGCAATAGATCACCCAGAAGGAGTATGTCCTGCCCAAATGAATGTGGCATTTCACCCTTCAAGAAATAAATGGATACCCTGTCCCACAGAAGGCCAGGGCTCGCATGTCAGCATCACTCACTTCTTTATCCTTTCGCCAAAGGAAGCCACTTCATCTAGGATGTTCTGGACACTCACACATACCTCCTGGATGGCATAGATTTTATTTATAAATCCCTTTTTTTCACTGTCCTAAAATGCAATAAAAAAAGAAATTCTGTATGAATAAAATATATCCTTTAGTGCTTGAATTCTTTGCATTGTTCCTCATATTTAAAACTTAAATAAACTTTCTATAGGTTAGATGGATAATTGAAGCTTATGAAAATTTCAGGATATTAGGGACATGAGGAGGAAGAGTACCCAGCATCATAGACCTGTGCTGCTATGAAAATGGTTGTGACCTAGCAGACTTGAATTCTTTTGTTCTTAGGCTGATTAAAAGAAACATTGAGGGAGTTGGGGGATAGGGTGTGAAAGAGAGGAAGATCTCAATGTTAGCAAACCAGTGGCTCAGAACCCATCAATATTATACATAGCAAATCCAGTTTTCTTGACCCTACCACCCATAGACCCATGTTTGGTTGTGGCTTCAGATAATTCAGCAGCAGAATATTCTGGGTGCAAATGAAACCTGTGATCAATGAAAACTGCAAAAAAATGACAAATAACAAATCCATTAAGTTGACACTTCCTAGATCAAATATACACTAAGCTTAATCACCCACTGAAAAGTAATACTCTTACTCAGTAGCATATACTATTAGTCAAGGTTCTTACTAAATCCCCTTTCCCTACCCCTACCCCCCCCTTTTTTTATATAGTTCATCCTAAAACTTGTGCAGAATTTAAGCAAAGCTGGTGCACTCCAGGGAAGAGGTGGGTGGGGATTGAACACAAAGCACCCAGAAAGTGGTGTGAGCCTAAGGGAAATGTGCATATTTTGTAATTTTAAACCCAGAAGAAGAAATAGTGGTGGCCTTTCACGATTGAAAATTCTGCTTAGTAGCCTGGCATCACAGGCACTTGCCTAGGCTGTTTAGTGGAGACCATCCAACCCTGATTCCATGACTCTATTCCTCCATGCCAGCTTGAATATCTATGGAAATATAGATCCAATTTCATTACTTTAACTTCTTTTGAACACTTGCATACTATGCCAGAACACTTGAGACCTCATGTGGCAGTTAGTGCTTGCTGAAAGCAGCCAGGAAGCTAGAATAATAATGTCATGTTGCACATTTACATACTGACTTTCATTTTAGAAGAGTCTAAAGCACTTTACACTGTGAACACTTGGCCAGGGCTGGCATCCTGCCACCCAGAAACCAAGGGCAAGTGAATCAAAGTTGTGTGTGTATCCTCCTAGGACATTGCAGTATACGTGGACCAAGGACATGAAGACCAGTTTTACAATAACTTGATCTTTGGTAAATGTCAATTACTTGGAGCTTTCATTTTATATTTAATTACCATTATTTATCTTGCTTATGCCAAAACAGATTTTCAAACAATGAGGTAGATGAGACATACAAAACCCAAAACAGTATAGAAAGCAATTAGCTACTCCGCATTCCCCACTATCCTCAAAATTCACTTGTCATGATAGACTTGGATGCATCAACTGCTTATCTTCCCCCCCCATTTAATAAAACAAAATGCATTAATTCTACCTATGTAATTGTACACTTTAGAATGAAATGAATAACCAGTGGCTGTTTGTAGTTCCGTTCATAAACAACTACAAAGTTGGTCGGCATGATCCTTAGTGTTCTCATCTCAAGTATCAACTAAATTAACTTATGTCCATAAAGCAAAGTGCTCTTATAAGTGATTTTTTCTGTATATAGCAAGGTCAGTTGGAGGGCAGGGTGGGCGAGTATATGATAGTGGTAGACTGCAATGCTTAGTATGTGCAAGGCCCTGGGTTCAATCCCCAGCACCACAAAAAGAAAAATGAGTCAAAACCTGCTGATTGTACAATGAAAAGTCTGTTGAGAACAAGATTTATTCAAAATTATGTGAAAAATATTTTCTCACAACAATAAAATATATAATATTTAGGTATAACTTAAGATATATACAAAATCTATATGAAAATATGGATATATCATATTTGTATAGTATAATACTGAATACTAAATTTTTTCCCTCCAGTATGAATGCAATTTCAAGCAAATCCCAAATGTTTGAAGAGAATATGATGATATGTTTCTAAAATTTGTTGGGAATAATAAATAAGTACAGCCAAGAAATTTTTATAAAAGAGAAATAATGAAAAGGCATTTAATGGACCAGATACTTAAGTAATTAAAGTGAGATGTGGGCACATAGAGATTGATATATAATGAGTCACCATCATAAAGAGGGAAGTGTCATGTTACTGAGCAATTATGTCCACTATTTGAACAAAATTATGTTAAATCCTACCTTTAATAGAGTCTCTAACCTATTTGAGATAACCCATATCTACCTCAATATTTACTTCAAATAGCTCCAAATACATTCTAGGTTAATTTTTGAAAGCTAAAAATAAATAATAAAAATATAATATAGGATGGGCTGGGGTTGTGGCTCAGTGGCAGAGTGCTTGCCTTGCACTGGCGTGGCACTGGATTCAATCCTCAGCACCACATAAAAATAAAAACAAAGACTGTGTTGATGTATACCTAAAAAAAATTTTTAAAAAATAAGTAAATTATGTACTCACCTTGGAATACAAAAGAACTTTCTAAACATGTAAGCTCTAATAGAAGATCACAAGGAAATATTTGATAGTGATAGTTACATAAAATCATATCAAGTCGTCATAAATTTGGAAGGCTGGAGCTAGGCGTATAGTTCAGTGGTCTGGTGTATGCTTAGCATGTATAAGTTCCTAGTTCAATCTGCAACACCACTCAAAATTTTAAAGTCTTAAGTAGAAAAAAATTTGAAAGAATATGACAAGTGATGAAATGATGTTTCCAATGTATTCAGTAAACATCTGAAAATGTTTCATTGAAGTTTTGTTTATAATGCCAAAAAGAAAAATCAATAATATATTGGTTGGGATTAATTATGAAATAAAAATCATTATTATTTAATGAAAACAAAAATGCTTATGATCTAATAGAAATAAAAAGTAGGAAGTAAATGTGATATAATTTTTTTTTTTTTGGTACTGGAGATTGAATGAGGAGTGCTTAAACAATGAGCCACATCCTCAGCCCTTTTTATTTTTTGAGACAGGGTCTTGCTAAGTTGCTTAGGGCATCAATAAGTTGGTGAGGCTGGTTTTGAACCTGTGATCCTCCTGCCTCAGCCTCCCAAGCTGCTGAAATTATAGGTAGGCATGGGTCACCACACCTGGCAATATAATTCTATTTTTTAAATGGCTGTTAGGGGAAAAATGAAATGAATGTGTCAAAATATTCAGATAATGGAAGTTTATCTTCTTTGTGCCTTCCTATAATGATTCAAAGCCTGCAATTAATTTTTTTCCTTTATAATCAGAATATTATCCTGATTTTCTCCAATATTATTGAAGGAATTTAGAAGAAATAAATTAATTAGAAATTACTGAGCATGGTTTTACTGTGGTATTTTAATGTGTTTTTCTATTTTTAAAGTAATTTGGGGGGAGAAGTATAAATCAGTGGTCATTAAGCACTGCAGAGTGATTTTTAAAGAGCTCATTCAGTCCTCTCAACCATCCTACAATATATTTTTCTCCACAGAAGAGGAAACTGAGGCTCAGGGAAAATGACAGCTTGGATTGGGACTGCAACTGGCTAACTTCAGTCTATTCTTCAAACTATGTGACCATCCTATTTTATCCAGGAAGTTTTTATTTCCTCCCTAGAACCCCAGTATGATACCCAAAAAGAAAAGATTTAAAAATGTTCAGAAACTTTTTAGATAGCACCATCTACCCTTGATACTCATCACGCAGATAAAATCCAGAAACTAGATTCAAAGGTGGAAAGTGAACAGCATCAGATTAGATGCTAACAGGATGCACAAATATTAAATATGAAAACTTCATTAGTAGGATGTGTCATGTTAAGGTATCTCCAAAGACTATTTTTAGTAGATACTTTAAAACCTAACTGTTGATATATGATTATTGGTTAATATTCTTTAAAAATCAGATCACTCTTCGTTGTCTTTGTTTCTCCTGTACTCTCAGCCCACTGCCACTCCTTGTCTGGCCACCAAAAGACAAAAATAAGATGGTCTCTCTGTAATGCTGGCAAAGTTTTGGAATGTTGGCAAATGCTTTCAGGTAAAAAATTGTATTTTAAAATCTTTCATCAATTTCTATATTCCTCCACTGTGGTCTCTAACCAATGAAGTAATTACTCTTTATATACAGTATATGACCCAAAACTGCAATGGGTAATGGAATTGCTCTGTGTTACATTCCACTATTTCATACTTTTTTTCCCTAATGTTCAGTACTTTATTAGTTGAGAATAAATTGGTACATTTCTTTTATTGTTGTTTTTGCCTTCCTTTATAAACTGGCTTGGATGAAAGAAATATCATAGGGTAGTCAATCATCCAAAGGCTTGGTGTGACACTGGTTTCTTTAAAAAATGTATTATTAATATTACTTTTGAAGATGTAAAAAAATTACCCATAAAAACAGCTATAACTATAAATCTAAGATCATGTGAGATTTCTATTGCACAACTACTTTAATTCTGTACATTTTTAAGAAGCTTATTAGACTTTAAATAGTCCATAAAACATCAATAAAAACAAAATTTAAATTAGTGATTTTCTAATATTTGCCCATTTTATGACTATTACATATCACAGAAAGTCAAGCTACATTCTGTCAGAGAAGTAGCTACTTTATAGCTACTTCTTTGAGATTTTTAGGAAAATCTAAAGACCTAAGCAATTAATAGGAATACCTTACTTATTTGGAAAATCCTGTCCATTGACTTCTAAGCCAAAATGACAGATGTCTCCTCCCCTCTTTCATTGATTCCGTTCTGAATGGGACCAAGAAGCCAAAGTGATAGGCATCTGGGATGTGTATTCTGGGACTGACTCATGCTGAGCTGCATCCTGCCTTGGCCATTAAAGCATTTA